GGCTGCGCTCGAGGTAGTTTCGCCTAAAACCACAAGTTGTTACACAATCAACACATTAACCTGAAAACTTGAATCATGTTCTTAAACAGACACGCCAGATCGAGATTTTCATATGGATGTCATGCATGGCATCAAGGCCGTTAAGAAATATCTAAAATGGTGGCTGTATACAACAGCTTCTAAAATCAATGATTAAAAAGGCTTTGAGGCTGTGGATCTTGGCGAAGACCATTATTGTTCGAACTTTGTGAACTGGCACTACAGAATCACAGACAAAGAACTGTACTAGATAATGGAAACCACACCACCTGAGGACTTTCAACAAGTAAAATGAATGTCACATATAATTCTAAGAGAAAATAATGGGATAATCAAAATGTTGACGTTCCACACTACATCAAACAAAAGGCTAGGAAGGAAACTTCCATCAATACTGCAAAGTGCAATAACAGTTATTAGACTTGAGAAAGCTTTTAAGAGAAAGGTTTTATACATTTCAATCAATAATGTCACTGGCCGGTCGGTCAATAAATGCCGAATATTTCCTTATGAGAAAACATCTTTTTATATCCTTTCTGGTAAAATATAATTACATTTCGAATAATATCCTCTGTTAAATTTTGTTGTTGCTGTTGTTTTTTATAAACTCTTATAATCGATTAAGGCGGCGTGCATGAAAGACGAGCTCCTGAGGTATGCAATGCGAATTTAACACTTGTCGAAAGCTACTTTTACAGGTGTAGGGATGCAAAGCGCGATTATCTCCCTTTGGTTGCGATATGGTCACGAGGGTCACGTGACGGCCAGTGAGTGACGTCAGTTGATAGCGATACCAGGCCACGAGATGGGAGAGGTTGCTCAACTCTGTAGATTCCAACCCTGCGGCAGCACCTTCCTCATCGCACTAAAGAGATTGGGTCTGTGTAATACTGATGCCAGCATGACAGTGGTCGCGTGGCACGGACAAAAATCAGTTTTCTGTCCTTGGACCATGTGCATAAGTATGTGTATGGCGCTCCCCATGTTAAAACGACCTTGTGTCACATCCAGTCTTGGTGGGGAGGCCGGGTAAATATACCCGTAGACATAACTGACCTGCCATTTTTCCCGTTGGGAAATATTACAAGTAAGACCTTCTTTCTTTTTGGTCCTTTCACACTGCTTGTTGTATATATATATATATATATATATATATATCATAATTTCTTTGTATGGGACAAATTTGGGATAAGTATGTATATCAATATAGATTATACATTATTTCCATGCTGCACTTGCAGATAAAACACCAACAAGATATTGATCGGAATATATCCCTAAATTTTTCCATTATATAAACAGTGTCATAGATCTCAGTAAGATGAATTATTTGCTAAAATAGTTCGGCATTATCGGAAATGTTGATTTACTGCTTACGTAGAAATAAGAACAAGAGTAAGATAGTATTGAATAAGAGCCTGATAGTATCAGCAGACGAATGTCAGTCTCAAATTTAAAATTTAAAAGTCCTATCCATATGTATACAATTATTCAACCATCCTGTCTAAGGAAAATCATATCTTTTAAATCGTTAATTCTGAGAGAATTAGAAGTCCTACCAGGATTCGTTATTAGCGTCTACAATCTTAACAATATAAAATATGCAGATGACACAATGCAGATAGCAGACACGGAAAGGAAACTACAAAACATCTCACAGAAGACCGTCCTGGGTATGACGATAAACTAGGAGGTTTTGAAGAGCGTGGAACAACCTTTTAATTGCTGGTGTTCTCAGGTCCACCCTGACCCGGAGTCTTATTACCTGTTAGGGTCCTAGCTATGGGTAAATAGTTAAATCCCAAGCTGAGGTTAAAACGCTATGAAAATGTAAAAATAGGCTTTAATTCCAGAAATTCTTTGTAAAAAATTATTACCATCAGTAAACTTTTAAAGAAAAAATATTACCAGCAATACATTATTACCAGCAATATATTTTTGAAAACAAAGTATTACCAGGAATAAAAGTTTTGTCGGCATTAAATAACCCATTGAGGTATTGATATGCCGTAAATCAAAGCAAAGCAAAGCAAAGCAAATCTTACAGAAGATAGCGAATGAAAGCGAGGAGAAAGGACTAAGTATAAATTACAAGAAGACAGAATGCATGGTTATCAGCAAAATGATGAGCCCAAAATGCAAATTACAAATCGGGGATACTAAAATCAAACAAGTAAACAAACTGAAATATCTGGGAAGTATCCTGACAGATGACGGAATGTGTTATCCTGAGTTCCGAAGACGTATTGGGATGGCCAAAGATGCATCCCCAAAGCTAAGAGTCAAAAAAATTTCGCTAGAAACAATGAAAAGAGTAGAGAGTATCGCAGCGAATGCTGGACAATAGCCTCAAGGATGAAGAAGAGACTTGAAGCAACAATAATGTGGTTCTACTGAAAGATGCTGAGGATACCAGGGGCCGAACATGTGAGCAACAACGAGGTTTTGGAGGGAATGGAAACAAAGAGAAAACTTATACTTAACATCACGAAGAGGTAGTTGATGTTTCTGGGGCACCTAATGAGGAAGGAGGGTTTGGAAAACCTGATACTCACAGGACAGATTGAGGGGAAAATGGAAAGAGGAAAGTAGCCCGTAACATATTTGATGAGTTTGTGCAAATGGATGGCAGAACAGAGTTTGTGAGAAATAACGAAAAGACAAAACTTATTAAGAGCTACAAGGGACAGGAAGATGTGGAGGGCTATGGATGGACACGGCACATACAAGAAGAGCTATTTCTTAATTTTAACTTTTCACCCCCTCTTACATTCATATAACCCACCTTTCTCAGTAACCTTTTACTTTGAGTGACTCCTAAGCTTTGAGTGACCTCGTTTCCCGTTCAGTCATCCATTCAGACAAGCTCGTCAGGTAGCTCGTTGCCTCCCCCTATCTCTCTCGCCCTCAGTATGGCCTGCGAGGGTTAAGTTTTCAAATCCCTTTCTTCCTCAATGTGATAACAGTAATCTTAGTCGTTTCCCTATAAGGAAACATTTGGAATTCATTGATCGATCAGCCGGTACTTCTTTCAGTTGAAATTTATAAAATCTTTCTCTTAAAAGAATTTTTAAGGAAAATAGGTTTCTTATGCCCAGTAGCTGTTATAGCTCTTTCCAGAATTGATGGGAGGTAGTTCCTTCGTAACCTCTTATTTGAAGTGGTGTGGAATGTCAACATCTTGATTATGTCATTATTTTCTCTCTGAGTTACATGTGATATCCATTTTAGTTGTTGCTGCTAGTCCTCAAGTGATGGGGTTTTTGTGTTCATGGAATTCCAGCTTTCTTTTCCTGATTCCAAATATATCTCCTCTCTGTTGCCATTTTAAAAAACTTCCTCTTTGTTTACTCGCTCCATCCATGGAATTCTCAGCATGCTACTGTAAAATCACGTTTTTGATGCCTCCAGTTTTCTTCTCATCCGTGGAGAAATTGTCCAGCATTTACTGCCATATAACGGGATGCATATCACGTAGCAATCAAACACCCTTTGTTTATAACGAAATTTCTGTTTCTTAACACTTTGCTTAGCATTTGAAATGTTTCTTCTGCTAGTCTAATACGTGTTCGCATTTCGGCATCTTATTTTACGCCTTCTGCTAAAACACTCCCAAGAACAAAAAAGTTAATTACACAAGATTATATTCGGTTATTCAGATATCTGTAATGTACCAAATATCACACACTATGATAACAGTAATATTATTTATCATGTAATAATAATATTATATAATATCATATAATAGTAATATAATAGTAATACAATGTAATATAATAGTAATGACATATAATAGTAATATGATATAATAGTGATACAATATAATAGTAATAAATATAATATAATAGTAATGACATATCATAATAATATGATATAATAGTAATACAATATAATATAATAGTAATGACATATAATAGTAATATTATTTAACATCAGAAAGAAACAATTGGAAATCCTAGAGCACATACTAAAGAAAGAGGGTTTAAAAAATTTGACACTCACAGGGTATATTAAAAGAAGGCAGAAGAAAACAGTGCATAATCTACCTAAGGAACTTGTGTGAATGGTTGGCACGACAGGGATTAGGAGAGATAGTAAAAATACAAACTTTACGTAGAGCTCCAAAGGACAGGACATTTTGGAGAGACATGATTTCCCACATTCTGAAGGAACACAACCCCATGAAAGAAGAAGTAGAATATTAGCCGTTTCCTGATAAGGAAACATTCGTTATTCCTTTACGGAGCAGTCAGTGCTGCTGGTTGAAATTTATAAAATATTGTTATTAAAACAATTTTTTCAGGAAAATAGGCTTCTCGAGTCTACTGTTATCACTCTTTATAGTATTGTTGGGAGGTTTTCTTCCTAGACTTTTGTTTGAAGTAGTGTGGAACATCAGTATCTTGATTATGTCGTCATTATCTCTTTGAGTTACATAATGGTAATATTAACTGTTTCCTTGTAAGGAAACATTCGGCATTAACTGACCGATCAGCCAGTGCTACTTTAGGTCAGAATTTCTAAAAGCTTTCTATCGGTTATTTAAAGCCAGAAAATATTTTTTCGGTTCTAAGAATTCTTTGGAAACAATTTTTACTCACACAAGTCTTAGTAATTAACCTAATTGACATAGCTGGGGTGGAGAGATGAGGTGGATTCATACTTTTCTCAAGAGTATTTGCTACGAACCCGACTAGAATAGGAACACGGCTCAGCAATTCTAATCCCGAGCCGTTATCCATTACACCACCCGCACATTCAAACGTACAGCCCCCAGTATTCCCAAGTGGTCAACAATTTTGGTACTGACCATAGATGAGTAGGTAGAGTAGAGGTGGTTTCATGCCTTTCTCAAGGGTATTTGCGCGTAAGTGAATATAACGAACCTAACTGGAATTGGAATACGGTTGATTGATTTTCAAATTCGAACCGTTATCCATTACACCCCACACTCATCCAAGCTTACAGCATCTAGTATTTCCAAGCGATCAACCATCTAGATACTAAACAGGCTCGACGTTGCTTAACTTCGGTGATTGTACGTGAATCGATGTTTCAACGTGATTTGGCCGTAAGTCCATTATTCTACCGGTACATTCAAGCTTACATCACCCGGTATTCGCAATCAGTTACCCATCTATATACTGACCAGGCTTGACGTTGCTTAACTTCGGCGATTGTACGTGAACCGATATTTCAACGTGATTTGGCTGTAAATCCATTATACTACCGTTACATTCATGATTACAGCACCCGGTATTCGCAAGCGGTCACCCATCTATGTACTGACCAGGCTTGACGTTGCTTAACTTCGGTGATTGTACATGAACCGGTGTTTCAATGTGATTTGGACGTAAGCCGCTGACGGAGCCCAGGAAGTATTATGTACCTAGTTTTATCAAGATTATGCATATACTTTTTTTTCTCATTCTGTGGATGCTGTCAGCTTTTATCTTGTCATTATAAGCGATGTAATTAGAATATTCACAAATTCAATGGTTCAGATAATGCTTGTTGGGGTCTGCGTAACTCCATCCCAGCACTCTAATCTGTTCGTTGCCTCTGAGTTTGAACTGAGAAATCATATGAAGATACATTAGCAACAACAAGTACAAGAAGCTCAAACCAGAATTTGAACAACGACAAAAGAATCTACACGCCATATCTACTCGTCTATGAAGCCGACTTCATGTATAGAAGCATACTGGGGTTACCATAGACAAAATACGTGAGCAACGGTGAAGTTTTAGAGAAAATGGAAACAAAAAGGACACATATTTAACATTAGGAAGAGACAACTGGAATTTCTAGGAAATGAGGAAAGAGGGTTTAGAAAATGCGATACTCACAGGTCAGATTGAAGGCAGGAAGGAACCAGCGCATAACATTCTTAGTGAGTTTGAGTAGGCAAGGTAGAGTAATGGATAGCGGCTCGGATTGAGTTCGAATTCCAGTCGGATCCGTTACATCCACTTACGTGCTAATACCCTTGGAAAAGGTATGAATCCTCTTCTTCTCCCCCCCCCAGCTATGGGTAAATAGCAAGACAGACCGGGTAGTAGCCTTGGATGGCAACTAGTCTACCGCAGAAAGAAATGGCAACCTACTGCGGGAAAAAATCTGCCTCGTTAGTCATGTATCATTATGTGTCTACGCATGTATCACGCATGGCACATAACTGACTGACTGAGCTTGAGTAAACGTATGGCGGATCAGGGTTTAGGAGAACTAACAAAAAGACAGGAAAATGTGGAGAGTCATGATCGCCAACGCCCTGAAGTGACTCGGCGCATAGAAGAATTCCACTTTCTGATAACACAGTGGCGAAATATAATCTTTAGTAAGATCGTTGCTAGAGATTATATTTTACATGTGTCAATCGGAATGAGCCGCATGTTTCAAAGAGACCAGCAAGATGAATTATTTCTTGGAATAGTTCGGAATTAACAGAGATATTTATCTTTGGTTTATGTGAAAATATCCATAAATAATTAAAAATGTAATGTACTCAATATCATATACAATGGTAACGGTAACATTATTTAGCACCAGAGTCCTGGGTATGACGATAAACTACATCCGGCAGCAAGGCCTCTGATCAGGAGGTTGGAGGTTTCGAGGGAAACTACTTCTTAATTGCTGTTGTTACCAGGTCCATCCTGGCCCTGGGTCGTAGCAACTGTTAGGGTCCCAGCTATGGGCTAATTTTGAACCTCCAAACAAAATCGAAACATTATGAATATAGAAAAATACATTTTTATAGTTGTTGTAGCATACCTACGGATGATAATGGGTATATCTCCATTCACATAAATACAGTAGTAAATACTGTATGTTGGTCTGCAGTTGGAGATTCATCTCCAGCTGTGTTGGTCAAACTATCTGCCTTTGGGCAGATAGGATCCCCAGATGAGGCTATGTCGAAGGGCAGAGCATCGTCTCGGGAAACAGCTACACGACCCCGTTTTATGCGGGATCTACGGGGAATTTTTTTCCCTACGGGCTCGGACACCTCACATTAAATTCGGCCTTATGCCACATCTGATCGTGTGGGACGGTTGGTAGATGTCCTGCAGTTGAAGATTCGTTGTGGAATTCACTTAACTCACTTCTAGCAGTTGACTACTAATTCTACGCGCCGCTGGCGAATCTTATATGTTGTTCTTGTCCTAAGTATTAAGGTGTATTACCAACCTTCGTTTGATTATTCTATTCAGTAACCTCCCCGATGTTACAACAACAGTAAAATACCAACAATATCTATTTTATAGTAAAATTACCAATAATGCATATTAAAGCAAAATGATCAACGATACATTTTATCTGTAGTTGGTATGCAATTGCGCTCAAAATATTTAGATTTCTGAATTAAATAACGCATAGAGGTTGATATGCAGCTAAGCAAAATCAACCAACCAACAAAAAAGAACTCTTTCATGACATTAATCTATATAATAAAAATATAATAATATAAAGAAATGAAACTGTATTCCAAAATATAACTTTGTCAAAACAACAACATAAAACACACATTTCACTACCTCTAGTAATCATGTCCACACAAACATGTATATGTTCAAAAGTTGAGTATCGTCTACCATGGATTCAATTGTGAAAGCAGAATAACATATATTTTTATTACTTCGAAGCTCCAAGAAAATTAAATTGCGGCTTTAAATGATCCATAAGGAGTTGATATGCCGTTAAACAAACGAAGAGGCAATTGAAATTTCTAAGGCACATAATATGGATCATTCCACTTTTCTATGTACAAAGCCCGAAAGCAACTCGAGGTAGAGGGTTACAGAGTAAGAGGCACTGCTTATACGGATATGTGTGGAAGATACCGGTCAACCGGAGACTTGAATAGCTTAAGATTGTAATGACCAGAAAAACAACGCCTTGGGAGTTGGTTCCACAGAACAGTGGTTCGCAGGAAGAAGCTGCTCGAGTGGAACTTACTTCTCACCGATGTAGCACGGATGGAATGAAGGTGGTATGCAACAATGTGCGTAACCGAGCGGGTTCTAGCCCTGAAAGTGAGAACTGGTTGGACTGGTGGGACTAAGGAATGTAGTTCGTTTGATCACTTTCCATGGATATCGCGATAGAGCAGTGAGAGGTTCACAACGTTTCATGTTCGTAGGGTAGAAAATAATTCATCGAACACAAGGACTCAGAGACACTTTTGAACTCTATCGAAACTGGAAAGTGACGACTGGGCAGCTCCGGACGAAATATGACAATAGTACTCCATTTTAGGTCTGATCTGGCTCTTGTAAAGGTAAGTGTTAGCACGAGGAGCGAGGTACTTTCTGGAGCGGTACAGGAAACCGATCATTTTTCCTGCATCTTTGGTGATGGATCGTATGTACGAGTTCCACTTGAGGTGTGGGTTACGTTTGAGGCCCAATAGTTGCTCAAAGCGCGAGGCCTCCCCGAGGGAAGATCCATTCATCGTGACTGGTGGTAGCTCATTGTCCGATCGGCGATGATGGAATGTAACTATTGTGTTGTCACATAAAATGATGGACTTTATAGGAAATGAATGAAACGTTATCTCCTGTTAATTTCCCTCTGGAAGTTCTCCACTGCCTTAACCGGGTATTGAGGACACATGGTACAGTGGATAAAGGCGTTGGTTAGATCCAGTGACAGGATCCAAAGAGTGTGAGTTGAATACCCGGTTAAGGCAGTGGAGAGGGAGATAACTGATAACTGACATCCATCAAACATGGCACTTGGAACTAAAACACTCTACCCTAGTGAGCGAAATAAAGGGTTCAGTTCGACATTCCAGTCACCTGAAGAAGGCTGGAGCGTACAACGGCCGAAACGTTGTGATAAATATGGCGACAAAGATGAGGACAATAGTCCGAATAATGTCAATAATGTACTCGATATTCTCTCATTGGATTTATGAGTAACAATATATTGAAAGAAAAATTATCTTGAAAGAAAAAGAGTCTTGAATAAGATATTTTTATATACTAAAGAAGTTACTTCGTTAGACGATCGGATCAACCACCAAAAAAAGAATGCGATATTTCATGTGTGACGACTTAATAGTTTGGTTTTCGAAGCATTAAATCTAACTAGACAGTTTGTCGGAGGAGAGATCAGCTGCCAATATCTGGTCATCCAGAGTTTTGAAGGTACACCCAATCATCAGCATAGATCGGAGTATACTCTTAGGCAGATCATTTATATAAAGTAAATAAGAGGGTTGGTTGGAGACGCAACCTCTGGGGGACGTCTGCGTTGATAGCGAGGGCCTCAGAGGACTGCCAGTTAACAACTATCTACCCGTTATGAATGATTTTAATATTGAGAAGACTCTTCCAGTGATTCCATAGCTAGAGAACTTGAATAGTAATCCTTTGTGCCACACTTTGTCAGTAACCTTTGAAATATCTAATGCTATTGTAAGAGGCAAAGTTTATAGGATGTGCGCGGAAGATAATGATTGATCTTAAACTTGAACAGGGTAGGATTGAATTGATCAAGGAAGCATCCACTTGGGAGTAGGTTCAACGAATGACCGGTTCGTCTGAGGAAGTAGCTCGAGTGAAACATATATCTCACCAATGGAATACGAAGGTAATAAGTGAGGTTTACTAAAATGTGTGCGGCATTGCGGGTTTTAGCCGTGAAATTTAGAACTGGTGGAACTAAAGAATGTAGTTCGTCTTAATATCTTCTATGGAAATAGCGATAGAACAGCAAAAGACATTCGACGTTTCGTCTATGGGACAGGGGTTGTAGGGTGGAAAATAATTCGTTCCCCATAAGGGCACGGAAACGTACCCTAAAGTGAAGACTGGGTAATTCCTGCCCATATATGTCAGAAGTACTGATCCGATTTTTGCAGAGGATAGCAGGGGGAGTCAGAATCATTTTCCCAGCATCTTTGGCGATGCATCGTATGCACGAGTTCTGTATTAAGTTTAAGTCCCAAGAGGCGCTCAAGACACAGGTCCTTCCAAAAAGAACAACTGTTTATTTTGATAGATGAAAATTCAGGGTCCTCTCGCTGATTAGGGGACGTCACTAAAAATCTGAAGCTCTATTCCTATCTGCACAATTATTAAACCATCCTATTTAACAAAATCAAGATAACTGTTGATATTACATAATCACAAAAATATATATATAAAATCTTGTATATCTATGAGTCTACCATTCGTTCATGCTTAGAATATTGCTGTCATATATGGTCCGATACCCCTGCTATTCATCTGGAGCTCCTTGATAAGATCCAAAGAATCAGCAATATTATTGGCCCTGATCTGGCAGCTCGCCTCCAGTCACTTGCCTACCGCCGTAAATTTGCCTCTCTACCCTTTTTTTTTATATAAATAATTTCATGGTAATTGTTCAGATAAGCTCTTCGCTATGGTACCTACACTTTATAAATTTGAGTGCAGTACTAGACTTGCATCGAGATCTCATCAATTTACAGTTGAGCCGGCTAGATGTAGCCGTAAGTTTTATGCTAACAGTTTCTTTTCTCACACTCCATGCTTTCCAGCCAACTTTAATCTGCAAAAAATTAAATGCAATGTCAGTCGATATCTCTTGTTCTCCTGATTACTCTTTTCTCTTTTTGTTCATTAATAATGTTTCTGTTCCTAATTCCTCCACACCCTGTAAGCGCTTGCGTATTAATGGCTGTATCACCTTGCATAGGGTGATACCGATATAAAAAAAGGAAAAAAAGCTCTCAACTTCCAGTCATATTTCGTTGGTCAGTGTTGCCGCTACTTTCTTTTCTCATTCTTTAAGGCACAATATGTTCTTCCTGTTTAGATGATATTGATAGTGGCAAAATTAGCCATTTCCTTATAAGGAAATATTCGGAGTTCATTAACGAAACAGTTATCGTTATTGTCAGATGAAATTTTAAAAATATTTCCCTGAAAATAATTTTTTTCAGTAAAATAGATTTGATTGATTGATTTTTTAACGGCTGATTAACCTACTGTAGATTATTTAAAGACAGAAAATTATTTTAGATTAGAAGGATATTTGGGGATAATAATGATTTACAGATAAAAGCTCTACTAATTAATCCATAGCTGGGGGGCAAAGAGAGTAAATTCATACCTTTCCCAAAGTTTGATTGATTCGTTGTCTACGGCTTATCAACCCTTTGCAGGTTATTTTAAGCCATTAAATATTTTAGATTGTGATAATTGTTTTAGATAATAACGGTTTAGTGATAAAATCTTACTAATTAACCAATATGGATTTATATCATTTTCAAGGACATTTGCGCGTAAGTGAAAGTAACAAACCTAACTAGAATTGGAACTCGGCTCACCGATCAACAATTTCCAGCCATTATCCATTGCACCTAAGCTCACATAACCTGGTTTTCCTAAACGGTTACCCATCTAGGTACTAATCAGGCTCGGCGTTGCTTAACTTCTGTGATCGTATTGAAATTGGTGTTTCGACGTGATATGGTCGTAAGCCCAGGAAATGTTTCTCATGTCCAGTGTTATAATTTTTGCTCGTATTGATGGACATTTTATTTCTAACCTTCTGTTATAAATAAGTATGGAATGTCAGTATCTTCAATGTAACATTATTTTCTCTCCAAATCATAAATGCTATCCATTTTAGTTGTTGCTGTTTTGGAAAACCTTCAAGCGATGTGCTTTCTGTTATTTATTAAAGTTCTTTGACTGTGATTCTGTAGCGAAATCTGACGATGAAAAGTTCTCTTCAAGATCCACAGAATTCATTTGCAAAAATCTATTTTTAGTCATTGGTATAAAAAAAAACCCAACAAAAAACAAACAAACAAAAAAAAATCGAAAAAAAAACCCCGGCTGTATGTCGATGATGCTTAGGCAATTCTGAATTGATTGGATGCCATGAATAACACCCAAATAAAAATCTCGATTTGACAAGACTACTTAAGAACATGGATCAAGTTCGTAGGTTAATGTTTTGATTTTTGTAGCATCTTGATGTGTTGGAAAAAACTACTCCTACTTATTCTATGGTGATTTTCTAAGCATAGCTTAGATGTGACACAAGGCCCAAAGCATGGGGTACCCTGTTATGATCGAACTCACTATTGTGTTATAGCCTATTCTATGTTCAGTTACCTTATTCCTATACTGAATTAGTTAACTGATCTATACACCGAGGTATTTTTGTGTTTAGTACCATATTTCATATTTTGGATTTTTATGATAGTATATGTTATCTTTGTTTTCATTCGAATCAGGGATCAATAGTTCTGTTTTGGAAAGGTCTATCCGTCCTTGCATTGAATATTGCTGCCATATATGGTCTGGTGCTCCTGCTGTACGTCTCGATGTTCTTGATCCAGAGACGAATATGCAAGATGGTAGGTCTTGATCTAGCATCTAGTCTACAATTGCTATCCCACAGACGTGCGTGGCCTCCCTATGTTCTCTTCTACAAGTATTTTCACGGCAACTGTT